TGGGAAAATGCTTTTGTTTTGAATTCTCTTAAAAAAAAGAAACATCATAGAATGAGACTTTGAAGATTGGACACTAGAGGGAACCAGAAGGAACTAAAGTTTACAATTAAAGGAGAAGAGCACTTAAATTTGACTTACTAATACAGAATGGAGCAAACTATTTTAACATTGGACATATTGAAGGATATTTTTGAACAATGGACGTTAATTTTAAGAGAGTCTGCCTATCTAGACTGTGTTTAAAATATGTTATGAAAGAGGAACAAGTTCTACCTGACAAGACTGAAAGTAGATTTAAAAATGGCAGGCTATAAGAATGATATGGAAAAAGTTGCTACACTGGACATACAAATGAAACCAGCTGATGTCTTAATAATTAAAAGGAATGTGCAAATAACAAATGAAAAGAGTGATCTGGATAACTTTCCTATAGTGGATTTACAAAAGAAACTTGCTAAAGCTTCAAAGAATTTTGTGAGAAGGGACAAAGAAAAAATGAAAAGAAATCAAGTTCTAGGACATTATTTGAAGGAACTATGTCTTAATAATTAAAAGGAATGTGCAAATAACAAATGAAAAGAGTGATCTGGATAACTTTCCTATAGTGGATTTACAAAAGAAACTTGCTAAAGCTTCAAAGAATTTTGTGAGAAGGGACAAAGAAAAAATGAAAAGAAATCAAGTTCTAGGACATTATTTGAAGGAACTAAAAATAAAGATTGTTAAACATAAAAAGAAGGAATATAACGTTGGTTTATTTGATCAAATAAAATAGATGTTATCGCTGGTAACCTTTAATGGACTTTTGCTGATCAGGATTGAATGATGAGGGCTTAAGGATTTGTTTATAGATAAGAGATGGGATATGGGAAGAAGAGATTATTTGTTTTGGGAAGAAGAGATCATTTTAAGAGAAGGTGCAAAATTATTAAAATTGTTTATACTTGTGATGAAGGGGGAAGACAATATATTCTTATATATTTCTTTTCTTTTTCTTCACTATATTCTTATTATTTCTATTTTTCTTTCTATTTTTTTCTTTCCTGCACTTTCTGTTTTTATCTTTTTAATTGCAATTTTTAATAAAATTACTGTAAAAAAAGGACAAATTGCCTATCCCTTTGAATTGCTTAGAGCTGGAAACATGCGATCATCTCCAACAAAACACTAAATCTGCTGGCTGTTTTTTTAAAAAAATACATGATCACGCAAGCCTGTATTTTAAGGAAGCTTAGGTTAAGGTTTGTAAGTCAACGAACTGTAGCGCTGCTAGAAAAGAAATAAATAAAACTCCTCAATGTACCAATGGGAAAAAGCTGAAATAAATAAATGCAATAAAGTCCTTTTACGGATACTAGGTCACGGCAGAAGCTTTCCTCAGGCTAGAAGCTGTGAAGTGCTAGACTAGGAGGGGGGAGATCCCGCTTCTGGTACACGCTCAGCCAGGGACGTTCGCTGGGTGTCTTTGGGCCCCTTGGTTGTGGGGGAAAGTTGGAGGAGAGCACTATGCCTGTTGCCTGCCGCTCCTGAACTATAAGGCAGGATATCAATCTAATAAATACATACGAATCTTTCTGCCCTTGGACTAGATGGCCTACAATGCCCTTGCTAACTATGGTTCCCTTGGGCTTATGTGATTCTGTGAATGCACAAATAAACTGACCACCATTTGGAGAATATATAAGTTGATTTTTTCCTGTGCTGAAGATGATTGGAAAAAGAGTGATGTTCAGGAAGCAAAACTATAGTGTGTGTGTGTGTGTGTGTGTGTGTGTGTGTAATAGTTTTGCTTCCTGGGCAAAATATATATACAGAGATTTTTATATGTAAAACAAATATTTCATTTAGTTGTGTGAGTGTGTGTGTTTGTGTTTGTGTGTGTGTATAACCAAGTGTCATAAATTAATACCAGCACAATATTTTAAAAAAGAAACAAAAATGCTAAGATCGCTATAGGAATTTAGTTTTAAAATATTCTGCATGGATTTGTTTTGTTCTTATTAACCATTCTGAGGTAAATTACTTAAAATGGTACCTAGCACTGATTAAGGACTTGAAGTTTGATTATTCCTTCAATTTATTTCCTTGACATTGAGGTTCCTGATTCTTTCTCAGAAGGCCATTCAAGACAAAGGCAAACCGTATAAACACAATTTTCTATAAGCAAACTGTGAGGTTCCCTTCACAGGATCAGACAAAACAGTTAAACAAACAACAAATGCCAAATAATGGAATGTGGAAACAGGACCAATATAGCATGATTTTTTCATTTGAAAACTTCTGAATACAAGAAATAGTTTTGCTGTTTTCTGTAAGCACCATCGAGGTTGTATAAACAATAACTCATACAGTTAGAAACAGTCAAACCAAAGGTACTAATTTTCTGCAGTTCTGTGCATGCACAATTTCACACAGAAGCCAGTATCTGGCACCATATTTATATATCTCATGAGTTCTGTTTTCACTTGCAAAGAAAAGGAGGTGCCATAGTCTCTCCACGTTAAGCATATTCAGTTCCCTATGATTTTGGTATGGGAGAAACCAGCACATGCGTGAATCTCCAGGTCAGCTGAACCAAGCCAGAAGTTTCCAGTTTCTTTACTTGCAGAGACAGTTTTGAAAATATCAGACAATTTCCAGGCTGTGGTTAATAAATCCTTAAACGACACAACTGTTTCAGTGTGTCCAGGTATACCCCCCTCCCTACACAGGTATTGGATTTATTTCCTCTCATTCCTTGTGGCATGTTTTAATGGATGCAAGATCAGATTCAAAACATTATCTAAGACAGATGGTCCTTGCTAGAACATTCTTTTTTGGCTGTTATATATCCTCTCTGTAGGCTACTGTTGTCCTGATTATGTTTATTTTTCATTTATTTATCAAATTTGTCACTGCCCATCTCGTTAAAAACGACTCTGGATGGTTTACAAAGCAGTTAAAATCAATTAAAAATACAATGTAAAAAGATCCTAAATAAATAGAAAATAAATAGATCCAAGAATAGATGTTAAAATTGGCAGTCACTTGGGGAGCACCATCAAGGCGCCAGCCACCCCCAGATTGGGTAAGTTTGTTGTCACTCCACACAAGCTGGCAGAGCCAGGTCTTCAGTTCTTTCTGGAAAGCCGGGAGGGTGGGGGCCTGCCACATCTCTGGGGGGAGAATAGTCCAAAGGGCGGGAGCAACGGCAGAGAAGGCTCTCCTCCTGGACCCTGCCAGCCAACATGCTCTCACTGACAGGGTCCGCAACATGCCCTCTGTCCCTGAACGGGTGGGACAGGTTGATGTAATGGGGGTGAGGTGGTCTCTCAGGTAACTTGGACCCATGCCATGTAGGGCTTTAAAGGTAATAACCAACACCTTGAATTGGACTCAGAAGCAAACTGGGACCCAATGCAGCTCCTGCAGTAAAAGTGTTACACCATTCTTGAGGCACCTAAGATGTGGCCACATTTTGAGCCAGCTGTAGCTTCCGGATACTCTTCAAGGGTAGCCCCATGTAGAGCGCATTGCAATAGTCTAATCAATATCCTGTATCCTATATATATTATATCCTATATCTTCCCAACATCACTCTTTCTTCCATAATCCTCTTTGCCCCAAACTTGTCAAATATACATGTTGAACAATCCTTTGGAAAGTATATTTGAATGTGATTAGTGAGCCTGGTTAATAATAATATTAATCTTTAAAGCACATCAATGGGGGATTTGGGGTTGCTTTTCTTAAACAGTTGCTAGGTCACAAATTAAACTTTTTGTTAAATGGAAAGGTGTATAAAAAGCCTTTAAAATGGCTTAGAAATTATAGTGAGGGCTCATAGAGTCAAAAAGGAAAGGAAAGGAAAGGAAAGGAAAGGAAAGGAAAGGAAAGGAAAGGAAAGGAA